GGGGACCTGCAGCTGCCATGAGTATGGCTTCAAAATAAGTTTCCTGAGATGAAAACAACTGAGAGTCCAGAGGCATCAGCTAACCTGTGGGGAGGGAGTGGGAGGGCCACCCATGGCCTCAGTTTCCCTGGGTACAGCACTCACTTCCCTCAGAGTCCTTTCTGTGATACCCACCTCCCCTAGCCCTCTTGTCACTATACCACCCAACACACAGACAGCAGCAGAGAAGCATCTAGTGTTGAGTGTGTGTGTGTGTGTGTGTGTGTGTGTGTGTGTGTGTGTGTGTTTTGAGACAGGATCTTACTCTGTTGCCCAGGCTGGAGTGCAGTGGCACAGTCACGGCTCACTACAGCCTTGACCTCCTGGGTTCAGGTGATCCTCCCACCTCATCCTCCCAAGCAGTTGGGATTACAGGTGTATGCCACCATACCTGGCTAGTTTTTTGTATCACTTGTAGTGATAGGGTTTTGCCATGTTGCCCAGGTTGGTCTCAAACTGCTGGGACTTAAGCAATCTGCCTGCCTTGGCCTCCCAAAGTACTGGGATTACAGACGTGAACCACTGAGCCCCGCCTAGAGTGTCTCTCTCTGAATTGCAATCTGAACTTGAATGGGAAACTGTCAGCTAGTTTAAGGGGCAAGCAGTAGGTAGCTTCTTGTGACATCTTCTGAATCAGATGTCAGTCACAGGTAACTATCAAAAAATGGTGACTTACAAGATCGACTTAAATAGAAAGCTCTGGTCTGGTCTCTCTCCTTCAGCTCTTATATCCAGCTGGTTCCTTCTGTCCTGGAGAAGTAAACAGCCTCAGGTGGGACCCAGAGACTTGGGTTCTAACTCTGCCCTAATTAGCAGTGTGATGACTTTAGGCAGGTCCTTCTCCTTGCTGAGCACAGCTGCTAGAAAAAGCCTTTATGGAAACAAACATGTATTAAGCCCCTACTGTTTACACTATATACTGTATACAATGAAAGGCAAAGGCTTTTTATTTCTTCCTCCCAAGGTTCTGTTTGTGTGCAATGCAAATGAGTGCTGATTGTCATTTAGACATAATAATATCCGGATATGGGTCATTAAACAGGGCAGTGACCTGCCCACTTGGTCTACTGACCTATTCTTGGTTACTGCAAAACATTATTCAGACAGCAAGATAAATTGGTTAATTTTTCTTTCCACTCCTAAATTGTTAAATTAGTTACGGCAAAAACCAAAACCCAAGCAAACAAACCACACAAACCTCTTAAATACAAGTAGGGCCCCGATCCTGCCATCCGTTTTACTCCGAAATACAAGCTGGTTTATCTCTCTCCCACCTTCTGGTGGCCTCAGGCCATGTTCTCAGGCCCCTAACTAGCTCTTAGCTGCTATTTAGAATCCAGCTGTTAATTACTTCTTTAACACCTTTTTGCTGCTCAGTCAGAATACTGAGTAACCTCCGAGACTAGTTTCTCCTTTGCCTTTCTTTAGTGGCTCTGAAAGGTCTCTCAAAGGTTATCTGTCCTCAAGATGTGCCTAATTCTCTGCATTCAGGGCTTTCTTTACAGGGGATGATACAACTTGGGAGCTTTTAACATACACAAACACAAAATAGTGTAATACAAAGCTAGCCAGGGTTATTTAAAAATCTCACTTTCAGCTGGGCATGGAGAATTGCGCCTGTAATCCTACCACTTCGGGAGGCTGAGGTGGGTGGATCATTTGAAGCCAGGACATTGAGACCAGCCTGGCCAACACAGCAAAACCCCATCTCTACTAAAAATACAAAAATTATTCAGGCATGGTGGTGTACATCCGTGATCCCAGCTACTTGAAAGGCTAAGGTACGAGAACCACTTGAATCTGGGAGGCAGAGGTTGTAGTGAGCCAAGATCACACCACTGCACTCCAGCATGGGAGACAGAGCGTGACTCCATCTCAAAAAAAAGAAACAACAACAATACAAAAACTCACTTTTGAACTAGTCTATGTTTAATATATTACTGAGTGCTTTTTCAAAAGGCCAAATTACCAATTCATGTGTATGGTCGGGTGAGAAGGCCGGGAGGCAGGTGCCTTATGGCTTTGGACTATTGCAGATGCCTTCCAGTGGTGGACCAGAGCAGCTGGCACTGGTGTACTGGCATCTCCTTCAAGCTCAGTGTTCAGTGATGTCATGTTGGTAGCCTGAAATCTGTCACAGTGAGAATATTTACATCATGGAAAGTGGCAAACACTACTCAGGGCACACTCCTTCCCACAAGGAGCTGACTATTAAATATTTACCAGTGCATCACTGCTATTAACCCATTTCCCCCCTTCTCTTTCTGTTAGTAATTTAAAGGACTCATTTATTGGGCACACAGTCCACTGAGTTAGACACGAAAGCTGCAGAAAAACAACAATTATTGTTACCTTTGTCCGCCATATCACTGTCTATGTCTTTACACTGGAAACTCACTTAACCCTCAGAACAACACAGTGTGATAAAGAAATAGTGCTATCTCCTTTTTGCAGATGAGGAAAGTGAGTCACATAATGGCAAAACGTTGCTTATGGCCGCAACTGGTAAGTGATGCTTCCAGACCCAGAACTGAGGGCTTTCCCCACCCCCCAGAGCCCATGAGTTTTTCTGCTCTCCCAGGAAAAGGCCTGGAGACCCGATGTGCAAAAACTCAGGGACATGTTCCACCAGAGCTAAGACTCAAGAGCAAATGAGTTTTATGGAGGCTTTGCACCAGGAAGGGCTCTTAATGGAGACAGTTGTGCAGGCTGTGAGGAAGGTTCCACAGACCCCCAGAGAAGCAGTAAGAGGGAACTGAGGTCACCTTGAGAAGAGAGGTTCTGAGATACAACAGGCCTCTTTGCCTGGCACACTTTGTCAAGGCAGAAAAATGCCTTCCACTTCTGGAGAAAAAAAAAGAAAGGAGTCACAGGATGCAATTAGGAAAGAACAAATATATCCTCAGATTCTCACAGCTGAACAACCAGGGAAAACCCAGCCTGTATACAATCAGAAACTGTTGTTGCCAGAGCAGACACGCAGAAGGTCTCTGCTCACCCCTGCAAGAGTAACTGCGCAAGAAGCAGGGCCCACACTACCACAGGCCAGTGAGGGACCACTTCTTCCTTAGCAGTAGTGGCAGTGCAGCTGGTTCTCCTGCTGGGTTCCCAGTTGGAAATTCCAAAGGGAACTACTTTCTGCATTCAGCACCCAAAGAGAAAAACTGCAATTCGTGAAAAATAAAAACTACAATTTCAAATGCTACTTTGTAGAATGCAGTCATATTCTGCCAACAATCAGACACTAGGCTAGGTATTTCCTTATGATACTTAGGAGAGAAAGAAAACCAAGTTCACTCCCCCTTTCCCTACTTCCTCCTGTTCCCGCCCCCCTCAAGGGAATGAGTCAAGTCAGTCAACAAGTATTTACGGAGCACCCACAGGATTGCAGAGTCTGGGAGGAGGTGCGGTTGCTGGAAGAAGCCCAGGACAGCTCTCATTTGAGACAGTTAAAGGAAATGTCAATCCTCAGGCCAGGTCTAAACAGGGCAGAAAAGAACTGGCTGCCACCTGGGTGGGTTTATTCTGGACCAATCACTCACTCCTGGCTGAGCTGCCTCTGTTATTGGCAAGGCAAAGTGGGTGGATCAGCCATGTTCATGTACATTTTTGGAAAACTCCACACACAATACTAACAATCTTGATGGCTTTTGAGGTGGGAGTTGGGTTGGCTGAGATACTCTTCTTCCTCCCTCCCAAAGGCCTCACAACAATAAAAATTAAACAAATGTTGTCAGATGTTCACCGTTTCTCCTCTGCAAATATAAGTGTGTGTAAGTGGACGAGAAGGCTAGCAAAACCCAGGGCCCATGGAAACAGCCTCCCGGGGGCCTGCCTGTTCTAGTTTGGAGACTGGGTTGTATTTACTTGGCTCCAGATCCTGTTCCTCCAAGCGTGCTCTCTGGACCATTGCAATCAGCACTATGTGGGATTGTGTTAGAAATGCAGAGTTCCAGGCCCCACCCAAGCCCTACTGAAGAAGAATCTGCATTTACATAATCTCTGCAGGTGGTTCCCATGCACGTGCAACTCGGAGAAGCACCAGTCCCAATAACCAAGAAAGTGTTCGTTATTAAACCCCAGCGAGCCCCCAAAGTCACATCTGGGGAACATCTGTCTTCCATATTGCAGGGGGGGGCAATTAGCAGCCTCCCTAGATTTGCTGTTCACAGAAAGCAAACACCAATAAAGCCTAAAGATTTATAAATATATTATGACTCCTGGTTTAAAAGTAGGTGCCTGGAAGGACCCAGGTCAGTTGCACATTATTTAATCGCCATAGGAAGACATATTCTTGGAGCTAACAGGACCAAACACTGCCGGCCACAAGGAGTCCTTTCACATCTACATTACACTCAACAACTACATGCTGGCCTAGATTCACTTGTTTTAAATACCCAAGTTATGTTTGAATAACCTGTATGGTTACAATTAGGATCACTGCATCTGGGAAAGTCACCGCAAACCCCCACACATAAATATGGTGATTTTAATAACAAATAACACATTTGGAGGCTGGTATATAAGTATGCAGGCAGAGGAAGCCACTGAAGATGTTAATTTGCATGTTCACAAAGAAATAGAATCCAGCTGCCACATTAATGCTTAATTCTACAGAGCCGTAGGACACCCGCACAACCTTACCATGGGCATGCTCTAAATTTAAAGCCGATTTTCAAACCCTGGCAATTTTGGCAAAAACCTAAATTCAACTGCTTAAGGAGGAGACTGGATTTCCTGTGAATCCTAAAATAGTGCGAGTAGAAAAAAGTCTATTTGTGGCCCCCCTAGGCGCCACTGCGGGAGAGGCCCAGGCAGGAGTTTGCGGAGGGCCGAGCCGGGTGAGCGCAGGGGGGCGGCGGCGGCGGCGGCGGCGGCGGCGGCGCAGAAGAAGAAACTGAGGCCCTGTGAAGTGAAATGACTTGCCCACGGCCACACAGCTGATCTCCTGGGCGTGACCCTACTTCTTGCTGCTCATGCCGCTGGGATTGGGGCGGCGGAAAAAGACGACCCCTCTAGTGGAAAATGAGGAGGCTGAGCCAGGCCGTGGCGGGCTGGGAGAGGAGGAGCCAGGGCCCCTGGTCGAAGGTAAGGTGGGGTGGGGAGGCCCCAAATGGGCTTGCCCCCCCCGCCCCCAGCCTTGCGGCCCCGCCTCATGTTCCACACCCAGCTGGCCCATGGCAGTCCCACTGGCCACATCGAGGGCTTCACCAGTGTCAAGGAGCTGTACGGCAAGATCGCCGAGGCCTTCCACCTGCCAACTGCCGAGGTGATGATCTGCACCCTGAACACCCGCAAAGTAGACATGGACAAGCTCCTGGGAGGCCAGATCCGGCTAGAGGATTTCATCTTCGCCCACGAGAAGGGGCAGTGCAAGGAGGCGGAGGTGTTCAAGTCGGAGGATGCACTCGGGCTCACGATCACGGACAACGGGGCTGGCTACGCCTTCATCAAGCACATCAAGGAGGGCAGTGTGATCGACCACATCCACGTCATCAGCGTGGGTGACACGACTGAGGCCATCAAGGGGCAGAGCCCGCTGGGCTGCCGGCACTACGAGGTGGCCCGGCTGCTCAAGGAGCTTCCCCGAGGCCGCACCTTCACGTTGAAACTCACAGAGCCTCGCAAGGCCTTTGACATCATCAGCCAGCATTCAGCGGGTGGCCGCCCTGGCTGTGGCCGACTGGGCACTGGCCGAGGGACCCTGCGGCTCCGATCCCGGGGCCCCGCCACAGTGGAGGATCTGCCCTCTGCCTTTGAGGAGAAGGCCATTGAGAAGGTGGATGACCTGCTGGAGAGTTACATGGGTATCAGGGACACGGAGTTGGCGGCCACCATGGTGGAGCTAGGAAAGGATAAAAGGAACCAGAATGAGCTGGCCAAGGCCTTAGATGAACGGCTGGGGGACTTTGCCTTCCCCGATGAGTTTGTCTTTGACGTCTGGGGCATCACTGGGGACGCCAAAGTTGGCCTCTACTAGGACTTCCTCCGGACCCTGCGATGATGATGACCCGGGTCCAACTTGGTGGGAGGCCCCCCCCCCCCCCCCCCCCCCCCGCAAGGTCACCAATGTCAGGACCTGAACCTCCGACCTGAGCCTAGCTCAGCAGCCCCAGGACGATGGGGAGGGGAGGTGGGGCTGGGCCCCCCACCCCGTTCCAATTGGTACCATCCCCTCCCTGGTTCTCAGTCTGGCCGGGGTTCCCGGCCGCCCCCGCCCCCTTGCCCTGTTCCCACCTACTTCAGCTGGGTCAGGCACGGGGAGGGGAGGGATGGGTCACATTGGGCGGCCACCTCCACCTCCTCCACTTTCCACCATCAGCTGCCAAACTGGTCCCTCTGTCTCCCTGGAGCCTTGGGTTCTGTTTGGGGGTCATGACCTTCCTAGTTTCCTGAGGCAGGGAATACAGGGAAGGGGGTGTCACTCCCCACAGCAAATGCAATAATGCCCTCGCCCCTCCTGAGAGAAGCACCCTCCCCGTGGAGTCTGTAACCTCCGAATCTGACAGGAGTCGGCTGTGAACCCCCCCAATCTCCTCCCTACATCTCATCTCTCCCTCCAGGCCCATCCCTAGCCCAGAGCAGGAGGGAGGGACAGATGATGGCCCTGGGCTTTTGTATCTGAATCTGCTGTCTTGAACATAAAGAATCTCTCTGCTGTTAAAAAAAAATAAAAGAAAAAAGTCTATTAGTTTAAGTTTTGCAAGTTAAAGACAAGTATCTGAATTGATTTGATGCGAAGTTTCGCAAAATGTTCACCTTGGGGCAGGAAAAACGAAAGGTCTAATTGGAAGAGATGTCTTCTTATAAGGGATTAGAATTTATGGAGTAGGGTCTAATTTAGCTGTTGTTTTCTGGCCTCCTACACTTGTATTTAGTGTTCAAATTAAATGTGAAAATTCTATCAGCCTTTAAGATAAACCTTCTAAACTAGGATGCATATGAGTGAATGTGTTTGTGTTAGAGGGAGAGGCTATTAATAATACTGGTCATGGTAATATTAATAGGAGGTAGTGTGCTAATTTGGATATTGTATCCTGTTAAGCTCTGTTCACTTTACCAGTTTCTCTAAGAAAACGGTGTATGTTGAACTGCTCGCTAGCATGGTGTACTTGCTCAAGCACTTGCAGAAAGACACAGGGGACTTCCTGTGGGGATGCAAACCCAGTGGGGCAAACAGAGCCTGGTAACAGTACAATCAATCAACTGTTTCAGTTATGAAGGAAAGAGCTGCTAACACCTCCCACTCCAGTGGAATGTACCTCATTGAAAGCTCTTGGCACTCACTTTTTTTTTTTTTTTTTTTTTAATATTTTACTGCATTTTACGTTTTGGGGTACATGTGAAGAACATGCAAGATTGTTACATAGGTATATACATGGCAGTGTGGTTTGCTGCCTTCCTCCCCATCACCTATATCTGGCATTTCCCCCCATGTTATCCCTCCCCAACTCTCCACCCCCTGCTGTCCCTCCCCTAGTTCCCCCCTGCAGACGCCAGTGTGTGATGCTCCCTTCCCTGTGTCCGTGTGTTCTCATTGTTCAACACCAGCCTATGAGTGAGAACATGTGGTGTTTGATTTTCTGTTCTTGTGTCAGTTTGCTGAGAATGATGGTTTCCAGGTTCATCCATGTCCCTACAAAGGACACAAACTCATTGTTTTTGATGGCTGCATAGTATTCCATGGTGTATATGTGCCACATTTTCCCTGTCCAGTCTATCATCAATGGGCATTTGCATTGGTTCCAGGTCTTTGCTATTGTAAACAGTGCTGCAATGAACATTCCTGTGCATGTGTCCTTATAATAGAATGATTTATAATCCTTTGGATATATGCCCATTAATGGGATTGCTGGGTCAAATGCAATTTCTATTTCTAGGTCCTTGAGGAATCGCCACACTGTCTTCCACAATGGTTGAACTAATTTACACTCCCACCAACAGTGTAAAAGTGTTCCTATTTCTCCACATCCTCTCCAGCATCTGTTGTCTCCCGATTTTTAAATGATTGCCATTCTAACTGGTGTGAGATGGTATCTCAATGTAGTTTTGATTTGCATTTCTCTAATGATCACTCTTTACAGAGAATGGTGGGTAGCCAGACCTATGGTGACATTAGGCACACAGCAACGTTCCTGTTCTACAAGTGGACAAGAGAGAAGGAGAGCAGTGGTCAAAACCATCATGGGGGTACATGTGATTGAGTGACTAGGTTGCATGATTTCGTTTTGTTAAATGCTTGACAGTCCTTAGAATTGCCAATTCTGCTGAGTCCTTGGCTCATCTGTTGTTAATAAATGCTGGTAGCAATATCTGTGAGGACACTTGTCAGAGGGGCTACTTCCTCCCACACTGGGCAATGGCCAGATGGAGAAGTCAGGAGACCTGTGTGGAGAGCCTCGCCTTTCCAGGGGCAAATCCATCACCTCAATAAGCCTTGGCTCACTGTCTCTCAAATAGGAGTGATCATGCCAGCTGCACTTAATTCTTAGAACTATTTTGAGGATGAAATGAGATAATGGATGTGAGTCCTTAAGTAATGTCAATCTGGGAATATGTGGGTGGGGCTGTTTGGGAGGTAAGCTCCCTTCTGCTCTGTCATGAAAGGCATGTAACACACTTCATAGTACTTCCCTCTCCCAGGCCCCCAAACAAGCTTGCCTGTCAATTCTGACACATTTAGAATTCATTAAGTAATTAAATCCATTTTGATCTAATTGAATTTTTCTTTGAGGGCAGTTTAAGATTCCACTAAGCCTGTGAAGCTTATGAGTAATTGCAAGTGGAAACTCCACCCAACTGTGTTGAGATGTCCATCATCAATTTTTTTCCCAATGCATGATTTCACTTGTCTGGATGGCACTGTTACATCTGGAGGCCAGAATCAAGCCAACCACCACTAGCAGCAGCAATAAATAACACCATTGCATTGGGTCAGCACTGTGCAGGAACACCTGACTGCCATTCACACGGAAATCTTTCTGGGCAAAGGAGAGCTGGTCAGTTTCTGGGTGACCAGAACAGGTGCTGCACTGCCCAAGAGGGACACGGCCATCCTTTAACAGTTTTTATCTGACAACTGCTTTTGGTATATGGGCAACTGTTGGTCTGTTTTAAAGAGGCCCCTGGGCCTGACCCTGTAGCTCAAAGATGAGCCATGTGGTTCCCGATCTCTGGGGCTTCTGGTTTGCACTGTCCCCTCAGGAAGACTTGTCAGCCAACCTACCCCATCTTAGAGGGGAGAGAGACTGGTGACTGATGCCTGGTGGAGAGGCTTGCTTTCAGCCCTCCATCAGAGAAGGGAACCCCCTAGGGTCCATTATCCTAAGCCACTGTTGAGCCATAGTCAGCTTCACCCCCATTCTCTATCTGAACCTGACACTGAACCATGATTATATCAGTCTTCTCAGATAAGGGAGTCCAGCTCAGGTTCCAAGTCCAGAACTTTTTCCTGAGTCTCCTAGGGGCCAGATATGTCTGGGATTTTGAAAAGCCTCCTCTGCCTGGTATCTGTCTTGATACCAGATTCTATTCTGGAATCGGTCCTGCTACCTGGCAGAGTGCCAAGTCCATATTTTGAGGGCAACAGAGACCAGCATTTGCTAAATTTAATGGTCGTTTCTCAGCCCTCACCTCACTCAACCTTCAACAGCACCCCCTCTTCCTTTATACACTCCCCTCCTTGGCTGCAGGAATGTGGCACCCACCAGGTCTCCTCCTACCTCTCTGGCTGCTCCTTCTCAGTCTCCTTTGCCAGTTCCTGCTGTTCTCTCCAGTGTGCAAAAGCTGCAGTGCTCATGGCTCAGCCCTTGACCTCTTTTTTTTCTCAGCTTCAGTCCCAGGGATCTCCTCCAGTCTCATGGCTTGAAGTGCCATCAACATGTTGATGACTAAAGTCACTGTCTCTAACCTAGACCTTGTCCCTGACTTCCAGCCCAATTAATTACCCCACTGCCTATCACCCTCCCCACTGGATGTCCACAATGTATCTCAAATGCAACATGTCCCAAACAGAGCTCCTAATTCTTTCCTCCCAAAGCTGCTCCTCCCAGTCTTCTCCGTTTCTGTCAATGACACTTCCTTCTTTCCCACTGCCCAGGGGACATTCCTAACTCTTCTTCCTCTTGCTCTTCACATTTGGTCCACTGGCAAATCCTGTCCCTCTTTCTTCAAAATGGGGCCGGAATCTGACAACTTTCCCCATGTCTACTGCCACCATCCAGGTCCCACTGGTCCCACAACTTGTCTCTGATTTTCTACCCTTGACCCCTTTGGTCTGTGATTATATCATGGCAGCCACAGCGCTCTGTTAAAATGAAGTTGGATCATGTCACCTCTCTCTGCTCAAGACCCGTCACTGCTCCCCATCTCATAGTCAAAAGGATTCACCAGGGGCTGCATGACCCTGTGACCGGCCCCTGGCCCCCTTTCTGACTGCATCTTCTTCTGTGCTGCCCCCCAGCCCCACCCACTCTGCTCCTGGAACCTGCCATGTGCAACCCCTTTGCACCTGCTGCTCCCTCTGCCTGGCGTACTCTTTCCCTGTGTGTGTCTATAGAGTTTGTCACCTCCCTGTGAGGCCCTCAATAAATATTAAATAAATGAATGAGCAAGTGAACTGAAGGCTTTACCCTGAACCCTCCCTGGCAGGCCGGGATCTCACAGTTTGCCGGTTCACTCTTTCCCTGTGGCTGAATCCTGAGCCCCGCCCACTGCATCTCCCACCCCCAGGGGGTGCTGTTCACAACGTGGTCCATGGCTGGAAGGGCAGCTCCCAAAGCCAACTCTGCAGGGACCCATGTGAAGTCACAATATGAATATGTGACCCTTTCTACGGTGCCTGGCACATACTGGGTGGCTCTGCATGTATCTCCTAAATGAAGCTTCATCTCTCATCCTGAGTCAGAATCCTGCCCACTCAGAACCCAAGACCCATGCCTGGAGCTGCCTCAGCCCATCCCCAGCCTTCTCCTCCTGGCCCAGTTCCCCTTCCCTTGCTGTGCTTCCAGCATCTCTTATGCTGTTCAGACCCAGACAATTCCAAAACACGGGATTCTCTGTGAATGATGTGGAAATGCAACTTCCCCACGTGGAGTTGCTGGGCGTGTTTCCCTTCCCTTCCCCTTAAACCCTAAACAGAGGGGGCCACTACGTCACATAAGGCCACTTCACGAATAAGGCACAAAACAGCCCTTTTGGAACTCAAAACAAAGTGTAGGAGCCGCAGCTGAGTTCCTAAGGCTTCCACTCAGCCTCACCCATTCCTGGCAATGAGCTACAGCAGCCGGATCTGCTCCCACCTATGGGTGATGGCTGGAAATACCAGGCTGTTACCTTTCATCAGAAACACGAAGGGACAGCAAGGGACCTCAGGCAGGTAATGGCGCCAAGAAGTAGCCATAACATGTTATTACAGAATTAGTTGTTTCGAAACTG